TGTTTCGTTTTGTTTTTAAACGTTTCTCGCCTCGTGAGCTCCCTTTGTTCTGGCTGCCAAGCAGGTTTCAAAGAATCTCCCTGGCTATCCGGCCGTTGGAACAAACCCTGAGCTGAGGCACAGCAATAACCCCCCGGAGGAGCGGGCACAGGCCTCCTCTTTGCAGGAATAGAAGACGTTCCATTTTAAAACGGCTGACAACAACAACAACAAAAAAACTTACATAGGTCCCCCCCCCATTTCATTTTAGTGGATAAATCTATCTTCATCTTTCAGGGTAGCCTTGACTGCACACAGAAAGAATTATAACACAAATACTAGAGGGAAAAACAAATAAACACTGAGCAACGTGCTAAGGTCTATTCTGCGCCTAATCTCACATGGTTTTGGGGAAATCCCTCGAAGCCAAGTAAACACTGCGGCATTCTTGTATCTTGAAGGGGATCTAACCCGTGTCACAAAGCAACGTGAAGGAGAAAACTTGGCTCAACAAAGGAAGAGTTGTAAGAAAGGGAGAATGGATACAGTAGGTTCCCTAAAATAATTCACAGCCAGGCAGTGTCAACGTCCATCGGGGGACCGTCACTCCCGGGGAAATGCTGAGTGGCAAGTGGACACGTAACGAGAGGCTGCCAGTGGGTGACGGAAAACCCACAGATCAGAGCGAAAGCAACTTTCAAGAGGGCTGTGTGATGGCTCGAACCGCGTGCTTTATCACTAAGGCGGCTTGTCTAGCCAAGAACAGCACCATGAGTGACTTGCTGCAGATTGATGTTCTATTAGTCACACTACACAGAACTTCACATGTGGTCGGCGCGTGGACACGGAAAAGGTGGCGGGTTGATTCCCAGTCAGGGCACATGCCTAGGTTTCGGGTTTCGATCCCTGGTCAGGGCATATGCAGGAGGCAACCGATCGATGTTTCTCTTTCACGTCAATGTTTCTCTCTCTCTCTCTCTCTCTCTCTCTCTCTCTCTCTCTCTCTCTCTCTCTCTCCCTTTTCTTGTCTCTAAGATGAATACACAGCCCAGCTAGCGTGGCTCAGTGATTGAGCATCGACCTATGAACCAGGAAGGCAAGCGTGCTTCTTTATTTTTCAAGCGCTAGAAGGGAATTCCTTAAAAATTCTAGTTTTCCATACCAGAGAGTAAAAAATATAACTGGAATTCTCCTTACCTGATGGTGCACATCAGAATTTGTTGGGCCGTTGGAAGGGACTGGATCACACTCTTCAACTAGGAAAAAAAAAAGACACAGTTTAGTAGTAGAAAGCACAGTGCGGGGAAAGACCTGAGACTCAAGACACTTTTCTCTCAAAATGTGAGTCAGCCCGGGCCAGTG